ACACCACTGCACTTCAGCCTGGGCAACAGAGCAAGATCCTGTCTCAAAACCTAGATAAATAAAATGAAATGGTTAATTTTATGTTATGTGACTTTCACCTTGATTTTTTCTTTTTCTTCTTATTTTTTTTTTTTGAGATGGAGTTTCGCTCTTATAGCCCAGGCTAGAGTGCAGTGGCCCGATCTTGGCTCATGGCAACCTCCACCTCCCGGGTTCAAGCGATTCCCCTGCCTCAGCCTCTAGAGTAGCTGGGATTACAGGCATGCGCCACCATGCCTGGCTAATTTTGTATTTTTAGTAGAGATGGGGTTTCTCCATGTCGGCCAGGCGTGTCTCAAACTCCTGACCTCAGGTGATCCGCCCGCCTTGGCCTCCCAAAGTGCTGGGATTACAAGGTGTGAGCCACTGTGCCTGGCCTCACCTTGATTTTTAAAAATCCAGTAAGAACCTGTGCTTCCCGTCACACCCAGCCCTGTGGTCCCCTGGCTGTGGTTGGGGTTATCGCCTCTCCCATGTAGGACGGGAGGAACAAGATCCCTGCAGGAAATGAAGCCCCTCTGCGGGAGAAAACCCTCCTCTCATCAGCCTGGTGTTTTTAAAACCTCAAAATAATGTCAGGAAAGTTCTCTGGAATAAATACTTCCCTGCAATACTTTCTACTCAAGGATGAAAAAAAAGACCCCTTTCCTCTAAGATCCTTTAAGTCGGGTTATTTACCTCTTTCTTATAGGAAACAACATCGGAGAGAGAGACAAGATCACAGAGAATCCAGTCAGTACCCGCGAGAAGACCGAGGTCACGTGGAGCATCCTGGCTGTCCTGTGCCTGCTTGTGGCCGTGGCGGTGGCCATAGGCTGGGTGTGCCGGGACCGATGGCTCCGCCGCAGCTATGCAGGTAGAGACAGCCCCATATTGTGGATGTTAATGTTTGTTCTGTTGGTGTGAACGTTTGCCTGCTTTAACTTCCCTCACTGATACTGATTTAGCTTGAAACTGTTGTGGTAGCATCAACACTCATGAGCCTTAGCAACCCGAGCTCTCCCACGGAGTGGTTTTGAAACCCAGCATCTCTGACATTCCTGACACTGCCAAGCCCGAAGGGCGCTGCGGAGTCTGCCCTGCAGGTTGGGCGGGGAGGGCGGCTTCTGCATGTAGAAGGCCGGGCAGTTGCCATTTCCGGGGAAGCCGCTGAGACTGCCTTGAGCACACCCGCGCTGTGGGTCTGTGACTCCGACCAGCTCCGCGACAGAGCCCGGAGGTCTGTGTTTCAGCCACGTAAGACACAGCAGCAGAACGCAGTAGTGCAGGAAACCGCAAACGTTGGCTGCGGTGATGGTCCTGATGACGGGGACAGGGGGACTCGTCCCAGACCCCCCCAAGGGTGGCAGTCAGTGGGGTGCAGGCACAGTGGCCACAGAGTAGGGGCAGCTCCTGTGGGCTGCCCCTGGCTCTCCCATTTGTGGCCAATCTCAGTCATCCCAGAAACATCTTCCGTGGCCGTGATGCCACTGCTGGCTGGCCAGGCCGCGGAGGTGCCCCAGAGCCAGGTCGCAGCATTTTAAGTGCTTCCCAGGCACTTACTCCTTTAAGAGGATCTTCCTCAAAAGCCGTGCGGCCTGGGGAACCCCTCCTCTATGAGTGCTTTCCCCGCTGGAGTTGGGAGCCTCGGGGAGACTTCCAAGCAGGGCGTTTAGGGGGCTGCTGAGAGCTCAGGAGCACCAGGGGCTTTAGGGACACCCCCACCGCTGCTGCCCTGACCATTTTCGTTTGTCCCCCAGGTGTCTGGGCTGTGAGGCCGGAGCCAGAGCTCGCTGGTGAGTTTGCCATGGGAAGCAGCAGGTTCTGGGGTGCCTGAGGGAGGCTTGGCTGGCAGCTGTCTTTCAGATTGTCAAAAAACTTTCAAAAGGCAAAAGTCCTTTGCCTTGAACAATTGTTGCTCCCAGAGACGCAGTGAAGCCCTCGATGGCGCGCATGGCATTTCCTGCAGCCTCCCCTTGGCATGGGATGGCATCCTGGTGTGCACTTTCTCACACTGCAATGGGATTTTCCCAACATGCACAGAAGCAGAGAGACGAGTGCTGGACCCCTGTGTTCCCCAGCGCCCAACCCCCACCAGGATGTCCGGAGCAGGTCCAGGCACTGGCGCCCAGCCCCCACCGGGGTGTCCAGAACAGGTCCAGGCACTGGCACCCAGCCCCCACGGGGTGTCCAGAGCAGGTCCAGGCACTGGCGCCCAGCCCCCACCAGGGTGTCCAGAGCAGGTCCAGGCACTGGCGCCCAGCCCCCACCGGGGTGTCCAGAGCAGGTCCAGGCACTGGCACCCAGCCCCCATGGGATGTTCAGAGCGGGTCCAGGCACTGGTGCCCAGCCCCCACGGGGTGTTCAGAGGGGGTCCAGGCACTTGTGCCCACCCCTACCAGGATGTCCGGAGCAGGTCCAGGCACTGCCGGCTTCTCTCTGCAGCAGCCACTCCTGCAGCTCTCGGGGTGGAGGTGTGCCCCTCAGTCCCAGGAGCAACATAGATGTGAATTCCTGTCCAATTTGGGAAAAATGTCCACACACAGTCACCTACCTGGCAGGTGCCTCTGGCTGCAAGGGGTGTTTGGCTTCGCAGGCAGGCCAGCTGGGCTCCCCGCCATGGACCAGGATCCCCTCTGAGCCCCGTTTGCCATCCATGAGCAGGGGTTCCCCGGGGACAGTGGGCTCAGGGTGTGCACAGCCACCACGCTGTGGTGTCACCTGTGGACCCCAGCGAGCGGATGGCTGACTGCAGAAACTCACTTCCAAGGCCAGGTCAGCCCGTCCAGATGACACATGAACACAGCCTGCTGAAAACAAGCCAGCCTGTTCCTACCAGAGCCAGTCGAAGTGCCTTGTGCAGGTGGCTGTTTCCGAAGCTCTAAACCCTTTGTTTCCACCAAGCTGAGTCCTGAGAAAACTGACGTCTGCCTGCAGAATGGAAAGGGGTGCTTCATGTTCCTCTCTCTTCTTCACTTCCCTTCCAAGGCCATGTTTGACCGGAGCTCACCGCCAGAGCGTGGACAGGGCTTCCGTGAGACGCCACCATGAGAGGCCAGGTGGCAGCTTGAGAATGGACTCGCACAGGTGCCTCCCAGACTGCAGGGGAGCACTTGGGGCCACCCCCAGAAGGACCACTGCTGGATCCCAGCGAGAACCTGCTGGCGTTGGCTGTGATCCTGGAATGAGGCCCTTTCAAAATCGTCATCCACACCAAAGGCAAATCCCCACTGTCACTACCAGTCACTCACAGGAAGGGACTGGTGATGGGCTCTTTCCACCCGGAGCATGCGAGATTCAACGCCAGGCTCTTCCCGGTACCCCAGACCTACTGTGGGTCTTCCCGTGGGATGCGGGGCCCTGAGACTGAAGGGTGTTTGGTTTCAAAAGACGACTCTGGGTGTCCACTCTTCCAGGACGGCCTCTGTGCTGCTGGGGTCGTGCGAGGCTGTTTGCAGGAGGCACGGTCCCAGGAGCTCTTCTGCCCTGGATGCTCCCAACCTACCTCCTGCCCGGAGGCCACAGGACCCACACATGTGTGTGTCCACAAGTGTAGGCAGCCGTCCACACCAAGGAGCCCCTGGAAGGCCCCACTGGGCTTCGTTGTCCTCTGCCACATTCCCCGGGAGGAACAGTGGCCCTCGGCTGTTCTGGTGAAAAGCTGAGCTGCCTTTGGAAGAGGTGCTGGTGGAGTTTGCCAGAAGAAAGGCTGTGCCACAGCTGTGTTTGGCCAGCTGTAGAGGCTGCCAGGGCTCTTGGCTCTGCAGTGAGAAAGATACAGCCCTGGGCACAGCCCAGCAGGGCTGGAGATGCCCATGTCCAGTAGGTGCAGGCCTGGCAACACGATCCCCAGAGTCCTGAGCAGAAGTTGAGAGGGCATCACCTGGTGACCACGGTCCCCCTTGTCACCACAGCAGTGATCCCCAAAGTGAGGGGTGGCTCCCCCGTCCTCCGCTGCCCTCAGCAGCCCCACCCCACTCAACCATGAGGGTCCCCAGGGTCCCCAGGGTCCTGATGAAGACATCGACCCCAGCACCAGGCTCCTCGGAGCTCAACAGTCCCAAGGGCGCAGGAGGCAGGGTGGCCCACTGCTGAGGGGTATGGCCCTGGGTCCTGACACGCCCCAGCACTGTGCTAGTGCCTGGAATGAATCAGCTGCTGACTGTCTCCAGGAGGGCTGGAAAGGACACTACCAGGTGACCCAGGGTGCACTTGCCCCAGGGAGATGGAGTAGATGACCTGGCCTGGCCCTGGGGACACGTGTCTACCCCGGGGCTATGGGCAAACGCCCCTCCTTCTTCCTTCCCAGAGTTCCTGACATTCTTGGGGGCAGCCAGGACCTGTTACAGCCCTGGTCACTTGGAACTGACAGCTGTGTGAGGCCTGCACTTCTCAGACCCAGACTACAACAAAATGAGGAGTGAGGGCTCATGGTTACTATGAGATTCTAGTACTTGTCACAAGAAATTGGTTTTCTATGAAAAAAGTCCCTACCTGGGCCTTTAAGTGAATCCACTCCTGCTTTTAACATGAAAGCATTAGAAGATGTGTGGTGTTTGTAAAAGTACAGTTGTCATCACCGGGCATTGACTGGCAGGGACAAGGAGCTGCTTGGGTGTGGAAATTTGGGGCGTTGGAAAGCGGGGTGTGGTGCCCATTTGCGGTGACTGTGAAGTGACTCCAGGACAGAGCTGCGGGAGCACCCAGAGGTCCTAAGCCCCAGGACTGAGGGTGGTGCATCACCACTCGGGTGTCCCGGGAGGTGCCCTGGGCCCAGGGGACCTCACGGGCAGGATGGTGACACCCTTGCAGGGAGAGGGAGTCTGGCTCCAGCTTTTCCCATTGGAGGTGATTTTCCTTCACCAGGGGACAGGCAGGAAAGATGCAGGAGCCCCAGAAGCTTCTACCTCTCATGCCTGGGGCCCAGGGGACACTTGGAGGCTGCTGTCACCACTGTGCGTCCAGGGCCATGCCCTCTGCGGGTGAGTGCCTGAGTCTCGCCTCCCTGCTGGTCCCCGAAGTCCCCCTCAGAAGCCCTGCATGGTGGGATTTGTAAGACCCACCCTGTAACGCCTGCCCCTCTCAGCCCAAGACATCAGCTTCCTCGTTCTCCTGTGCTGTAGATAGGCTGAATTCCAGTGCTGTGACAGCCGTCTCCAGTAACCTGACTTGAGAGAGTAAGATGCAAATGGTGCCTGTGTCCTGTGGCTTCGGTGGGTGCAGGGAGTCTTGGGCACCGCCAGCTCAGCTGTCTGTGGTCTAAGCAGGAACAGGTGCCACTCCTGCTCGGGGGGCCCTGCCCTCACCAGGCTGTTCTGTCCCCCCACGAGGGGCATGAGGCCAGGTCTGGAGGCATTTTGGGTTGTCACAGCTAGGGGCTGTTCCTGGCATCAGTGGGTGTAAGCCCCAGATGCTGTTCAACATCCTACCGGACACAGGAGGCCCCAACACAGAGAAGCGTCGACCCGGAGGTCCACAGTCTGAGGTCTCCCCTCAGAGACCCTGCCCTGCACGTCCACCTCCAGCCAAAGGTCCTGCCTGCCACAGGGCTCGGGAACCTTGCCGGTCTGTGGAAGAGGAGAGGGGACTCTCGCCAGCTGCACCACCCTGCACGTAGTAGGTGTGCAGTAAACAGCCACCAGGGAGGCCCCAGTCAAGGCTGGCAGATGGGGCGGTCCGTCCCTAGGGCAGGAGACAGAAGGGAAACGGCTGCCTGCTGGCCCCCGAGCCAGGTAGCACTGTGCTTGTGCCTCAGTTTCCCCTCGTATAAAGTGAGGCGCTGGAACCAGATTCTGTCTACTGGGCTCTGCAGCTTGGACACTCCTAAGACCAAGGGACCCACCCTGGGGAGGGCAGCTGTGGCTTTGGAATAGCTGTCCAGGCCTGGGCGCCTCGAAGAAGGCTGCCAAGCCCTGCCCCTGCTGTAGGGGTGCGGCGTTGGGGGGTAAGACTCAGAGACCTCTCTGCATCTCCTTGTGTTCAGTGGCCAGAGGTGCGGCCTGAGCTCAAGGGAGGGGCTTCTGCCACAAATTCTGTGGCAGGGCAAAGCACACTTTTCCCGGGGGGGACCACGGGGTCCCCTGCGTTGCCCCCAGCGGAGTGTGGGCTCACCTTGCAAGAGCCACATTAAGAAGCTCCAGCTCTGGGAGTCTGCGGACTCTTAACCAGGCAGGCCCAGGCCCTGGGGCACACAAAGCTGGGCCTGCTCTCCCCAGCTGCCCCTGCCAATGGGGGCTGGACTGTCCTACCCTCCTCCCTTCTACCTCCCCACTGTCTTCCCTCTCCACTGTCACCACTGCCTCCCTCTTCCACTGTCCTCCCGGCACTGCCCTCCCTCCACCTTATCCCTCCCCCCCGGCTACTCCCCATCTGTCCCCAGGCTCCCCCAGCTCTCTCCTCTCCCCACTGTCCCCCCTCCCACTCCCCATGCTGTCCCCAGGATCCCCCACATGGACTTAGTGACGTCCTTCCATGCCTTGCCGGTCTGAGTTTCCATGACGGGCCGGGCCTGCAGCTTTGCTCCTACATCCCTGCCCAGGCTGCAGCTGTCCATGCAGGGGGCGAGCTCCAGCACCTGCGGAGTCCTTCTGTGGGGGCCTCTCTGTGCCGCAGCAGCCAGGGACCTCAGGTGCCCATGCATGACACCACTGCTCCTCCTCATCCTGACCCAACCTGTCAGGAGCAGGACTTGGTTTGGCGGTGTTAACCTTAGAGCCTGCAAGGGTCTTCCTCCTGGTGGTCCTGGCTGTAGCCTGGGGAGGCCGCAACTCCAGGCCACTCCAGACCTCCTTCCTCTGGGCCTTCCATGTGGTGGCAACCACCGCAGCTGCAAGGGAGGGGAAATGGAGCCTTTGTTCTCTGGCCGGGCTGGGGTCTGGGGGAAGCCATGGGCGTGAAGACTGAAGTCTTCTTTGATGGAGAAGCGGCCACTCCTGGAGACCAGCAGCAAACACAGGGGCACAACGTGGAAGGTGCTGGCGTCGGCCCACACAGGTGATGGCGTCAGACTCAGGAGTCACCAGGCTCAAAGGGCCCAGGCACTGCAAGTCCTGCTCAGCCCCAGACACAGTGCACTCCTGTCACCCTCGCCCTCAGCCAGGCCCCACACAGGCCAGGGAGCACTGGCAAAGCTTGGTGACCCTCAGGGGGCCAGCCTCCATCCAGGCTGAAGGTGGTCAGTGGCCCGCCTTGCCCCGGTGGAAAACTCACAGATGAAGATTTCATGCCTGACTCCAAAGGCAAGAGATTTTATTATTTTATTTTTCTGAGCCAGTCTCACTCCGTCACCCAGGCTGGAGCGCAATCTCTGCTCACTGCAACCTCCGCCTCCTGGGCTCAAGCAATTCTCCTGCCTCAGCCTCCCGAGTAGCTGGGATTACAGGTGTGCACCACCACGCCCGGCTAATTTTTGTATTTTTAGTAGAGACAGGGTTTCACCATGTTGGTCAGGCTCGTTTCAAACTCTGACCAACTTTGGGAGGCTGAGGTCGGGAGTTCGAGACCAGCCTGACCAACATGGAGAAACCCCATCTCTACTAAAAGTACAAAATTAGCCAGACGTGGTGGTGCATGCCTGTAATCCCAG